GGAAGGTTGACACTCGAACATGGCCAAAGCCCGCGCATTTGTCCGGCATGTAAAGAAAATTTGTTCCATACGTCCCACTCACTTAATTACAGGGTGTCGTTTGTTGGCTCCATATAAAGAGCGTGTAAAGCCGGGAACACACGTACCCGATGCAACGCTATGGGATGCTACCCGATGCAAATCCAAAGTCCAACTTTTCATAAAATTGTATTACCCCCGAGCATATCTGCCCGATGCTGCACGCTACCCTACTCTGCGATCTCCACTGTCCAGATTTTCGTCGGGTAGCATCGAGTACAATCGAAGACAAAAGAACTGGACACTCATATTTTTATTCAATCTATACATGTTATTGTCATTATATTAATTACAACATACTTATTTTAATATAAATCAAATTAACCGATATCAAAAATTCAATAGTTTTTATTTAAACAAAATTAATTTTAATGGTTTGGTAGAAAATTGATCAAAACACCGGAATAACTTTATTTAAAACAATTAAGTTTAACAAACAATTTGTTATATGGTTGTGTTCATAAAATTTAATTAATAATTACTTGGTTTTACTCAAAATAATGCATTAAGAACAAAAGAAGCGTTGCGATTGCGATACTGATTTGTGATACACGCTGTGTGACTGTATGTGGCGTGCACTTGACCAAAAGGTGGCAAGGCGTCGGGTAGCGTCGCATAGCGTTTCATCGAGTAAGTGTGTCCCCGCTTAAGAATGCCACCTGATATGAGAATTGTGTTTGAGCAAGTTACAATTTTTGGAAGAAACAAGGCAGTTTTATTGTATAAAGTACTGACTGATATCTCCTTTTGTGTTACCTTTTGTGTATAATAAGAGTGAATAGATTTATTAGCGTGAGAGGGCCGGTGGTGTAGTATTGTGGAATCACCCTACTTGAGTAATTGGTACATAAATAGGAAGAATATAATTAAGAAGTATGAGTGAGTCTACGTTTAGAAACTTCATTCTTGTGTTGCTAAAACGGCTGAGCTGTCTAAGCCTAACATCGATGAATGGTTCAGAATGACCAATTGATCAACTTGCATGTCTAACGTATTCGTTTAATTTTCGATTTGTTCTCAACTGTTTATAAAAAAATACACTGTTAGATTTGACAATTTGACACTTTTTTCTTCCTCCAAGTAACCATTGGGGGGAAAGAGTTTATTTTGACTACCCGCTTCCCGTTTGGATTGCATGGAAAACTCAAAAATCTATCTATCTAAAATCAAAATATAAATTTTTTAGCACGAGGCTTCGGATCATCTCAGTTCTTTGGCGTTCAAATTGTTTACATTCATAAATTAATTACGGCCACCTGTCACGGTTTTTTTTTGTTTTACTTGAAAATTTAAATTTGTGAGGCATGGTTTACAATAAAATCATATCGGTGAGGTTTCTTGGCAGTAATGATTATTTTAGTGAAAAGTGTACGCAGTGTGTCTACCAGAACGTTTGATTAACTACATATTTCGACAAAACGGCGATTGCTAAAAACTGCTAGAAGCAATTGTATCCTTAATTTTATCAATTTACAATTTCACGATGGAATTGATTGATAATGTCGGATTTACCTCCGACCCAAACTCTGAAAAACCATGTTTTATCGAACTCCACCCATGGTGAAAATCGGCGTGGAAATAAATGTACAACCTGTGATTTATCTCAACTCGGGACTTTTTTTGCTTAGTTACCAAGTTTTGCGAGTGCTGCTGGCTGAATACAGTTTGCTCTAAAGGGGATTTTGCCAGAGGCCTATTTTTTAGTGTTTTGTTTACGAAAAAATGAAACTGAATGTTGAACGAGGGATTTTCCACAAAAAATATTTTTATAAAATAAAGAATTTATTTAAAATTGTTTTCGAAAACAGAGGTATCATCCTCACCCGAATTAAGAATAGGACTTGGGAGGTTGACAAATGGACATTTACTTTTGGGCCAAGGCCGACGAATGTGTCCGTCATGGGGAGAAAGAATGCTCGAAATCTCACGTAATTGAAGAATAGCTTTTGGTTTCATATAGGGAGCGCGTAAGAATGCTCCTGATATAAGAATTGTGCTTGAATACGGTACATGATATTAGGATCCCCGTTCTAATTTTTGAAATAAAAAAGTCTGTTTTATTGTATACTGTACTTTATAAATATCTCCCCTTGTGTTTCTTTTTGTAAATTGCTAGTAAATGTATTTATTAGTGTGACAGCCCAGCGTGTATTGTATATTTCCAACGTTTTTTCAAATTTTTACGAGGGTTTGCAACAGCAGAGATTATATCAACCCTCGGGGTGACGGTGTTTTAAAAAAAAGCCTGTCTGTAAGTATGTCGGGTTCGAATGCAGGGCCGCTGGATTCGAACCCGTGACCTTTACCTTACAGTGATGAGCGCCGTGTCAATTCCTAAATCGTTGCGGACACCGACGCCCCTATATTTCTAATTGTATTGCGGTTTGCTGGATCGGCTGAGAAGCTCTCACGCATCAAGAGCTCGGTCAATAGGTGGCCTTCAGAGGATCCGAACAGAAGGTCGAGGCATCATATTCACCGGAATAAGAATAGGCCATGCGAGGTTGACACACAGAGGCTTCTTTTGAACCATAGACTTCGTATGTAACCGGAAAAATGTTGCTCGATTCCTTGGCACCATACAGAGTGCATATAGAAATGCCAACAAATAATATAATTGTGCATGAGTAAATATTTGGATTCCCTGTTCTGATTTTTAGAGGAAAGAAGGATGTTTTATTGTTTATAGTACCCTGTAGATATCTCATCTTGTGTTTCTTTATATATATGGCGAGGTTTGATACAGCCAAGGTCTAACTATCCGAATTGACAAAACACACTAAGTAGACAATTTATAAAGTTGTAAGTCCGATTATGTTCATGTGTGTATGAACGTACTTATAAAATAAGTTAGATCTTCACGATTTTATGTCCCATATCTTTAATTAGTTTTTTAATTGAAATCCCAAGAATGGACGATATGATTTGTCGACGTTCCTGAAATATTCCATTTGGGAAAGGCATGAAAGGAATGCGTGAAGGATAAATGCCAACCATTCACGCCCACCATGTCACCTGGGCCACACTTGGCCCAATAAACCTCACAAGGTATGCTTATTTTCCTACGTAATTCCAGCATCATATCGTTCATCGTTGTGAAATATTTTAATTAATTAATCTTTATGTAAGGCATCAGTTGAAATGAAAATGTTAGTGTCACGAGCGGGATTCGAACCCTCGACCTTCGGCTAAATACGCCGCTGCTCTACCACTTGAGCTATTTAGTGGTCCGATTGACCAAATACCTTCTTACAATTAATTTATCTTTATGTAAGGTATTGGTTGAAATGAAAAAATCAGGATAGCACAAGTAGTAGAGCAGCGGCGTATTGAGCCGAAGGTCGTGAGCTCGAATCCCGCTCGTCACACTAACATTTTCATTTCAAACAATACCTTACATAACGATTAATTAATGAAAAGAAGTTATTTGGTCAATTGGACCAAGAAATATAATGGATCATGAACTATGCTGTATATGTTTAACTATGATAAATACAGTTAATTGGGCAGTAGAGGCACTTAATTAAGTTATTTCATATGGGTGGACAATATAAACTTATAATAAAAGCTCTAACTAAGGTTATTAACTTCATTAAATACTCTGAAATTTTTAATGAGAATTATTATATTAAGTTAATTTTTTCTTTTGTCGAGAAAACACTGCTAAATTGAAGTGGTGATGCCTTATTAATGAAAATTTGGCTTGACCTTTTTGCATCATGCGATCCATTCAATAAATTAGCAAGTATAATGATAAAGGCTGTTTGGAGGAAAAAAAAGGAAAACCGAGATCTCAAAGTTTCATCAAGGGCTTGTCTCTTTTTTTTTCATTTACTCTCAGGCGCCCCTTGGATTAAATAAACATCTCTTTGTTTACGTATTTAAAATTTCCAATTGCTCTATTTAAATAATATGAAAAAGATCCAGTAAGTTTCAAATGTTCATCTTATTTCGCCAACGGTAAGTTCAAACACTTAATGTGGCTACACTTATTGTTTTTGCCTGGAGACATTTAATCTTTTAATTTTTTAACAAAAACACGCTTTTTTAATTTTATGAATTAAAAACTTTACGAGGCAATATTGAAAGATTCAACAGAATAATAACAGAGTTCCATAAATTACAAGAGGACCGAAATTTATATGTTGGCTGATTTAATACTGTTTTGTAAAAGAAATGTTATTGTCCATTGCATGTAACATTTAGAAGAAAAATCCTGGTTTTTGAAACGTAAGATAAGGTAATAAATAAAATGATAGGTGAATGAAAGAAAACTTTTGGATATGCTAAGAATAGGAATTAGATTATTTAAATAACTTTGTCTTGCTTAGCCAGAGATTGACACTGACTGACACGCTAACCTCTCGCTTATCACTTTTCATATTCCTAAATTTGAAAAACGCTCCGTAAAATCTATAAATCTTGTTATGCGCGAAGGAAAATTTTGATTGATTGAGAAATTTGAAATAAAAACGTATATTTATAAAAGATCCATTTATGTTTTAGTCGTCAATTAACCAAGCTACTTCTTTAAATTAATAATTCTTTTTATGTAAGGTTTTGGTTGAGATAAAAAAGTCAGTGTCACGAGCGGGATTCGAACCCACGACCTCCGGCGAAATACTGCTTGCTCTACCACTTGACCTATCATGACTTCGATTTTCTTGGACACCAACTCTCCTCCTCAACCAAAACCTTAAATAAAAAGAATAATTAATTGAAAGAAGTAACTTGGCCAATTGACCACTAAAACATAAGTGGATTTGATAGGAAAAGAAGTAGATAGCGGTGGCGTAATTTAGTTATTTTAACTAATTAATTTTTTTATGTATGGTATTGGTTAAGATAAAAAAGTCAGTGTCATGAGCGGGATTCGAAACCACGATTTTCGGATCAATACGCCGCTGCTCTGACCACTTGAAGTCACGATAGCTCAAGTGGTTAGAGCAGCGGTCTTTTGACCCGAACGTCGTGGGTTCGAATCCCGCTTGCGACGCTGACTTTTTTATCTCAACCAAAACCTTAATTAATTGAAAATAATTTATTTGGTCAAGCGGACCACGAAACCTAATAAAACCATTAAATAATTTTTCTTAGATAATATAGAAAATGTTATACATTTTTAGTTGTTCAACATTATTTTTTTTATTCCTGGATGTAGTTTTTATGCCACAGAAACTTCAATGGAAATGTGATAAACATCTATCTTTGGATCAACTTTATAATTTGATTATGTTTCTAAATAAATATAAAAAATAAATTATTCTATTTAATAAATCATAAATAAAGAAAATAAAGTATAAAAATAAATAAAATTTTAGGATAACGTGGTATGTTGAAAAAGTTAATTATCAACTGTAAAAGTGAAAACTTAAACTTTATAAAGTCATAGAAATGATAAATGGTGGAGTGAGTATGTTGTTCATTCTTTATAAAAAGAACGAATGCAGAGCCACTGGATTCGAACCCGACATACTTATGAATGGGCTTTTTTCAAAGATACCTGAGGGTTTATATGACCTCTGCTCTGCTGTGGCGAACCCTCGTAAAAAAAACCAAAAAAAAAAAAAACCCACTACCTCTACTTCCTTAAAATCAGCCAGTAAACAAGAACTCTTAAAAATTTGTAATAAATTAAGACTTTCATGCTCAAAAATTAACAAATCAATCTCGATCAATTCCCAATGTTTGAAATTAAAACTAACTCCAAAATTTGTTCTTGTTAAATTAAATATTAAAAATTGTTCATCTCTCTTACACCGTAAATGCCATAAAACCATATTAAATAATGAATTACATTAATTGTATAGTCAAACAGATACAAAACGCAAAATTGACATTATCAATTCAGTTCGACAATAAATACGGTCAATATCTATATGAGAGTACGAGCTATCTTTTTATAAAGATCATATTTATGAAGTCATTCATGAAGTTTTAACTTCATAAAATAGGCTGTAAATTTTGAAAATATATTTTGTATACTTTTATTTTGTCAGGAAATTGTAGACGTTGTGTGGCAAAAGGAAGACGCAAAAGCGTATTTAAATGATTATTTTACTGCATCTTTTTGCTATAAATTTCATTTTTATTATAGATTTTTTTTATTATATTTACATAATGTGATATATGAGATATTTATATATATATTTTGTTCGGAATAAATTATAATATCTGGTTGGTTCGAACTGTCAACTGTACTGACGGCTTGTCGTCGGTGGTTTATGGATCAATTTATCGCTTAAAAAGAGAGTCGGGGGCGAACCAGAAATTCACCATTTATTCTCGGCTTTTCAAACCATGGGGTGTGGCTCGATAAAACCCAGTCATTTAAGGGTTCGGATGAGGGATGGATGGCAAAACCGACGTTATCAATTCAGTTCGACAATAAATACGGTCCGAACAATCGCGATAGCACATAATTGTAGTTTATTGGCGTTTTTAAGGCGAATTCCCTTAAATATGTATGCACTAAATCTTTTTCGAAGGTGCATACAATTTTTTATTAAACCAACACCCCGACATGCATATGAATGGTCAGTTAAGCCCTTATAACCTACTTTTTAACTTTATGTCTTATATAAAGAAAATTTGGCTAAATATATACGTTTTGTGTGTTTCAGTGAGTGTGCATATTTATTAATGTGTGGTGTTTAATCAGTAAATGATTATTTGGAGATCGTGAGATGCGGTATGGTGTGATGTAGGCTTCAGAAAAACATTTTCTTTATTGTGCCAACGTTTCGATCTTTATTAAGATCATCTTCAGGGCCTGGGATTTATAAACATTGTTTGAATTTTACAAATACATGTAGGATGTGTAAAAAAAACGNTAAAATTTTTTAGCATTGAATAAATTCATTTTTTCTAATCTAAAAGTTTTTAGCATTGTATAAATTCATTTCTTTAATCTAAACTTTTCTAGCATTGTATAAATTCATTTTTTTTAATCTAAAATTTTGTACCATTGTATAAATTCATTTTATTTCTAATCTAAATGTTTTTTGCATTGTATAAATTCATTTTTTTAATCTAAAATTTTCTAACTGTATAAATTGATTTTTTTAAATCTAAAATTTTCTAGCTTTTTATAAATTCATTTTTTAATCTAAAATTTTCTAGCATTGTATAAATTCGTTTTATTTCTAATCTAAATTTTTTGCATTGTATAAATTCATTTTTTTAATCTAAAAATTTCTAGCATTGTATAAATTCATTTTTTTAATCTAAAATTTTCTAGCATTGCATAAATTCATTTTTTTAATCTAAAATTTTCTAGCATTGTATAAATTCATTTTTTTAATCTAAAATTTTCTAGCATTGTATAAATTCATTTTTTTAATCTAAAATTTCCTAGCATTGTATAAATTCTTTTTTTATAAATCTATAATTTTCCAGCATTGTATAAATAAGAAATAAAATGAATTTATACAATGCAAAAAAATTTATAATTAGAAAAAATGAATTTATACAATGCTAGAAAATTTTAGATTAAAAAAAGAAGAATGAATTTATACAATGCTAGAAAATTTAAATTAAAAAAAAATGAATTTATGCAATGCTACAACATTTTAGCATTGTATAAATTCATTTTTTAATCTAAAATTTTCTAGCATTGTATAAATACATTTTTTTATCTAAAATTTTCTAGCATTGTATAAATTCATTTTTTTATCTAAAATTTTCTAGCATTGTATAAATTCATTTTTTTATCTAAAATTTTCTAGCATTGTATAAATTCATTTTTTTTCTTATCTAAAATTTTTTTGCATTGTATGAATTCTTTTTTTTCACATCCTACATATATTTGTAAAATTTAAACAATGTTTATAAATCCCAGGCCCTGACGATGATCTCAATAAAGATCGAAACGTTGGCACGATAAAGAAAATGTTTTTCTAAATCCTACGTCACACCAGACCGCATCTCACGATCTCCGAATAATAATAGGTTTATATTTTTTGACTTCATGCGGGCGATCTGGCGATATTTAGAGTTGTTATACTTTGAATTTTAAAATTTAAAAGTTAAACTTTCAGTTTAATTTATGGATATTATATAAGCATTCGATTTTTTTTTTTTTTTTTGAATCTGGAACACGTTTAAGAGGAGAGCCAATGCGCCGATAGCGAAATCTGAGTGATGCTTAATTAAGGGATGCGATTCCTATTTCGTGGATATTCTGGGTCATGATCTCATTATATTTATTGGTGCTTTTTATCTCTGCATCAGATTTCCAACTTATCTCAAAAATTTCTTTCTTGCCATCTCCCCAACAAAGTTTTAATTTGGATATCAAAAAATATTCAGATACTGTTCCGAGGAGCATTAAAATGAACGATAAAGCCTTTAAGACAGTTTACCCTATGGTCAGAAGAATATTAATGTTTGGAATTGTTTGCTGATCGGTTCGCCGCGTGAACTCAAACGTATGTACAACAAAGCTTAGGTCGATTTGTTTAGAACTGTTCCTTTCTATGAAGCCAACGGCCTTTTGTAATTAAACAAAGCGAAAATTTGCGGTCGAAACTTCCGATTGATAGCCCCCTTTTTTGGAGATGAGAAAAATAAGGGGACATTGACATTTAATTGATCAAATCGCGCGGCCAGTGCGAAGTCCCAATTAGGACAAGTTAGGCAATGATTAATGGATGGTTGATTTACTTAAGATGGATCTATTTGGACAGTGGTTTGTGACATTTCGGATGTTAATTCTGTTTTATTGAACTTACTTAACTTGAACAAAGAGTTTTCAAAATCCTTGGTAAATATTATAATAAAATTTTCAAGTCAACAACTGAAAACCGCCCGGATGACAATAACCCCTTATTTACTTGATTATAAAAAATAATACAGAAAAAAGGGGGCGACGGTGGCCGCAACGGTTTAGGCGGTGATACGGCGCTCATCACTGTAAGGTAAAAAGGTCCCGGGTTCGAATCCCGACGTACTTAAAAATGGGCTTTTTTTTTCAAAGGTTGATATAACTTCTGCTGTTGGTTGCGAACCCCCGTAAAAAATACAGAAAAAAACAAATAGATACAAAAACTATCAATGTAGAACAAAAATAACTCTAATGGAAAATTTTTGCAATTTGATTTATACCGTTTATCTTGGTCTGCCTGTCATAGCCGAATTGGTCTGTTAGACCTAGATGATCGGTAAGTGTCAAATTACTCGTTCATCACACTGCACAACACTGAGGACATCTCAAGGTTTAAAAAATAATTGGAAGATAGATTGATGTATAAATCTCAATCTCCAGGCGTGTCAGGCGTATTTCGTAATTAATTGCTGAACATCCGTCTTCCCGGTTAAAAATGAGAGAATTTCTTCCCTCCAGAGATTTTTCTTGCGGATGTTAGTGGTTCTTACCTCCCACCTGCGACCATATATCCAAGAAATTCCTTAAAAGTCTTCTGGAATGCTTACATTGCAAAGCACGTACAGGGTTTTTCTCTAGCAATGGCTTATAATTTAACAAAAGCAACTGGGCCCAGAATATGTGAAACTGGTCTGAACTCAGATTGCACAACTGGTTTGTGATGACTGATTTTTATATATTTTTTATATATATATATATATATATATATGCTCTCTATATTTGAGGGCCAAGGAAACAGTTTTAGAAAGAGCACTACCAAGGGTTTTGCATTTTTGCACTCCCCGAGCACTATAAATATATAAATTTAGCAGCGAACAGCTCAAAATATTAATTTGGTGTGCGCAAGCCATAGACTTTGTCGCTAATTTTCAATCAGTCAGATATACTTGTTTTGAGGGTAGGTTGACCAGTACCCACAGGGACATCTTCCCTGTGGGTCTAGGCAAAGTCCGACCATCAACCCTGGTGCCTGGGGGTAACCAATGATGGAGGTTCAGGATGCTGAACCCGCACCTCTCAGACACAGGCAACGGGTGCATCAGTATTCGTCTGACCTCACGGGTGGGCGATCAGTCCCACCTTAAAAATAATACTGAACTACGGGAGTGGAG